GAATGCGGAAATCGTCCTGCACGCTAGTCTCTGAAGTCTCATGGCTAGGTGACGATAGCCAAGTAGGAAAGTCCTCCTCATCATCAGCAGCTCGGAAAGCGGGGATGGACTCGCCAATGGGTTCCTCGCCAGAAGGACCGGCTGCGTGCTCTGGGACGGATGATGGCGGTGGAATAGGCATACGTGGAGAAGGAGATGGTGGTGGTGCGACGCAGCAGAGCCAAGAAGTAATCTTAGTCAACAGGGTGTTGTTCTTCTTGGTCGTGTCGCAGACCCATCGCTCAAACTCCGTAGATGGCTCCGCAGGTGGCTCAGTAGCCGTATACGCGCTCAAGTCGATCTCAAAAGGAGGCACCTGTCCGGAATATGTCTGAAATGGTGGTGGCTGAGAAGCAGGAGGCTCAGAAGGACCAGCCTCGTCAGGCTGCCTAGCGCGGGCTGCTCTCCTAACACCACTAGTCTTCGGCAGAATGGGTCTCTCGCAAAGCACCCCAGCAGGCGGATAGAAACCAATGTTTCCTGGAATAGCGAGAGATGTCAGATCAATGCGGGGTAGGCGAATGTACCTGTAAATCCCATCCTGGCCCTGGAAACGATAGACCAGCGAGTGACGAATGAGGATCTCGCTCGCGTAGAGGTGCTCCCGATCAATGAATCGCGCCTTGTTTTCCGGTAAGGGACGTGTGACGCTAAAGCCGCAGAAGGCAACGATGGGAGTCACCATACTGCCGATGGTGATGACCTTCTTCGAGGATCGAAGTGCGTTGTTGCGCACCTGGATAAACTCCTGGCAAAGTAGAGCGGCGAAGTTGACGCGATGCGTCTTGTTGTAGTTTGCCGAGGCAGGGTCGGTGATGAACGGGTGGAGCCCGTAGAAGCACATAGAGAGCTCCGGTAGCTGTAAAGTACCCATCTCGGCGCGGGCAAAGATGGTGCTGCTTATGAAGCGAACAGCGAGGCGGAGCACCGGATTGCGGATCAGTGCCTGCTTGGCACCTCGCGAAACATAGTCACCGGACCCAAAGGTCTGCCAGAACTCAGAAGCGTCTGTGACCCCATCAAACTTGGTTTTCTCTCTCCTCGGAAAGGCATAGAGATTGCAGAGCTGGCTGAGCGTGATATCGAATGGTCTCTTGGCGAGGAAGAATGAGATAAACCCGTCGGTGGCATCAAGTGGATCCGTCGGGTAATGAAGCTCCACCGTGGCTAGTAACTCAGCGGCTGCATCAGGGAAAAGAGGCCACCGCTTCGCAGGGAAGCTTCCGAAACCGGCATTGCGCAGGAATGCCGTCACGTCGTCTAGAATGCCCATTGCCTCCAAGACATCGATGTCTAGGAACCGAGTCGGCTCAAACTTGCAGGTACGAAGCGTGGTGGTATTCTTGTGGTCCGTGCTACTCCACTCTCTTTCTCCGGTGGCTGGTTCTTTGCCGCTGCGTCGTTGTCTAGGAGCCATTTGCTGAAAACAGAAACACTCAAAACCAAGTAAGTATAGATTTCAAAACTTAACCAAAATCAAAAATGATTTCGTAAGCTTATCGAATGACACTAGACAAGCAGTGCGACGCAAGCAACAACATCCAATTAAACATAGAACCGAAATCTCTATCGCACTCGCGAAATGCAAAACAGAAAATTCGATACATGTAATGGCATTAAACACATGCAATCAGCAATCAGCATTCTCTCGAACTCAATCGTCTCTCTCAATCCATCAAATTGCATTTCTAAACTTCTAAAAATCGAAATTCTATGGTCTAACACACGAAATTTCCAAGTTTCTCAAAAGCAAATCAATGGCATTTCAAAACAGAGAAACTATCAACCCTATATCATTCCCAACAACCTATTTCAACCCAATAACAAGAGATTACAAAGCTCTATCACTTAAAAATGTAAAAACCCGAAATCCCTAAGCAAAAATTCGATCATAGTACCTTGGTCAAAATGAATTGGGTATAGGGGGATCAGATAGAGCTCGAAAAATAGTGTGACTTAGCACCAAGAATCAACAAAAACAAATGAGAATTGAGAGAGATCGAGAGCTTTGAAGTTCTTAGAGAGAGAGAACAATGGAGGAGAGGGATCGATGGAGGAGAGAGAGGACTCGATCTCCATCGATTTTATGCCCAAAAACTGATTTAAACCGGTTTAAATCGAGTTGCAACCGATTTAAACCGGAAAACCCAATTTTTTTTTGAAATACCTGAGTCAGGATCGATCGATCCCTGGTGCAGATCGGTCGATCCCTGGTGCAGATCGGTCGATCCCGAGGCTTCTGTTCCTCGGTTCAATTTCCAGGCGAGACCGATCAGTCCAGGGTGTAGATCAATCGGTCCTAAGTGTTTGATCACCAAAATTAAAACCTATTCCTGAAACACTTAGGCATTCTCAAACTGATTCACTAAAACCCTCAAATTATAAATAGTCTATCTTTAAAAATCAGAAGAAACAAAATCAAAAGCTCAAAAACATAATAGTTAGTACAAAACATCGGGTTGCCTCCCGGAAGCGCTTGTTTTAAGTCTTAAGCTTGACTCCTCTTCTTCTAGGCTTGTGAACGAGTCCTTGGACCTCTTGCACGTTCTCTTGTGATGCTGACATTGCGATCTTCCTCCTAGAGACGTACCGGCCTTAGCGCGCTCTCTCGTGGCTTAGTGTGATAGAACACCTCCTTGTCTACGTTGGCGAAGCAAACACGGCGATTTGGAACATCCATGACAGCTCCAACAGTAGTTAAGAAAGCTCTCCCCAAGATAACTTGTTGACGCTTTTCGGGTACATCCACAACTTGGAAATCCGTAGGCACGTCCACATCTCCAATTCGCACTATCTCATTACGGAGCTCGCCTCTTGGTATGACCACCGACTCATCGGCCATGTAGAGCTTCGTTGTAGATGGACTACACTTGGTGATACCACATCGAGAAGCAATGGTGGTGGGTATCACGCTTGTTCCGGCTCCCGAATCACATAGACAATTATTCACGGAAACTCCGTTGATAGCACAAGGAACTACGAAGCAACCGAGATCTTTCACCTTGAGAAGGCATCTTCTCTCCGTAGCTTTCTCACGCGCCCTATAGAAATGTGCTTCTATGACATAGAGAGGTTCCCTACTCTTCCAAAAGCACTTTTGCAAGCCAACATAATTGGTCCATTCTTCCTTGAAACTAAGCCTTTCCGGGACCATCCTCACACGCATTTCGAACATGTTGAGGTCGTGTGGATGGATCTCGTCGCTTATCTCTTCTTGGTTTTCATCGGGAGTAAAGCATGCAGGATTGCAATTGCAATTACTCTTGACCATTTGGTAGGGCCATTGGCGATTCACACGTATACGAGGCGTCCTCTTCATAGCTACCATAGAGACTTCGGCATAGCAAGATCCTAGACGAGCGGCTTCAAGTACCGGATAATAAGCAACATTCTTGTCGATCTTAGTGAAGGTCATCTTGGGCTCATCAAGATCAAACACGGCCCCAACCGTGGTCAAGAAAGCACGTCCCAAGATCAAAGGAGTCTCGGAACCTCCACTCATTTCGACAACATGGAAATCAGTAGGTACCAAGTGGTTACCTACACGCACCTCTACATCGCCTATGAAACCTTGAGGGGTTGTTGTTGATGCGTTGGCGAACTTTAAGGAGCATTGGGAGGTCTCCATCCCTTGGAGATCAAGCCTTCGGACAGTGGCCATTGACATGACATTCACGCTTGATCCCGAATCACACAGGGAGTTGGCAAAGACTTCTCCATCTATAGAACATGGCACAACGAACTTGCCCGGGTCTTCTTGTTTCTCCACCTTAACGAGCTTGAGGGTTGAGGCTTCCTTTTGTTTTGCCAAGTAGGCATCGACCTCTGCTGGGTCCTCAGTACCATTGAGCACATCTCTACAGATCTTCTTTAAGAAAGGGAGTTCATCTAAGGCTTCGGAGAGTGTAACCTCCTTTATCAACTCGCTCATGATCTCCTTGAAGCGGTTGTACTTAGTTTCATCAATCTTGGCCTTAGGAACACGCGGATAGGGGCTCTAAGGCTTGTAGGGGAGCACATCAGCCTTAGCGACTATGTGAGCATCGTTCTCATTTGAAAACGAGTCAGAAACCCATGGAACAGCAGCACGGACCGATCGATCTCTAGGAGGATCGGTCGATCTGACCTCTCAGGTCAACAGGGTGAAACCAGCAGGCGGATCGGTCAATCTGGGCAGTGGATCGGTCGATCCTGGTTGGTGTGAGCTCGAGAGATCTCCAAATACATCCGAATGGAAGCTTGTATTGGCTCCAGAATGAGCCATGACAACATTACAAGCTTCTTTCCCTTTAGAGCTGGATGCCATAGTCGAAACTCTCTTGTCCAAGGAATCAACCCGACTAGCCAAGGTAGTGAACTTCCCATTCAAATCACCATACATCCCATCAATTTTTGCATTGATCTCTGATGCACTCTTCTTGTGACTCTCGATCAGAGAGTACATCATGGTCTCCAGCTTGTTTTCTTGAGGTACAGCCGGCTTAGGTGGGTAGTTAGCGAATGTGGATGGCTTGTTGAGGTTCCCTTGTTGGCGTGGAGGGTACACCATGTCTTGAGGGTTCTCCACATTGTTGCTGCGATAAGATAGGTTAGGATGGTTTCGATAATTGGGGTTGAAACCACGGTAACCTCCTTGTCCACCAATGTAGTTGACCTCCTCTTGATCATCATCCTCATCAAACGTCTCTTCAAGTGCTTTGATGGTTTGTTGCTCACGTGCGAGTAGAAGGTTCACCTTTTGAGTGAGATCCTTAAGCGCATCATTCTCCACCGCTTTTACCTTCAATGAACGATCATACTCGGGTGCATGATCGCTATTGCTTCTAGCCAAATTCTCGATCAATGATGTCGCTTGCACCACGGTGTTGGTTGAGAAATCTCCTTTGCTTGCCGTATCCAAAGCCATTTGGTATTGGGTATCAATACCGCCATAGAAAGTAGTCATGAGACTCTCTTGTGTGAAGCCATGGTGGGGCAATCCTTCACGTACTCCTTGAATCGTTCCCAAGCTTCATTAAAGGTCTCAGTAGCCTTTTGCTTGAAGGCAGCAATCTGATTCCTCATACGTGCTGATCGCGACTTCGTGTAGAAGTGATTCAGGAACTTCGCACGACACTCATTCCAAGTGGTTATGGAGCCGGGCTCTAGCATCTTGAGCCATCGCAATGCTTTATCCGCAAGAGAGAACTTAAACAAAGTAAGCCTCAGATAATCATAAGGGACTCCATTAGCCTTGGTCGTGTTGCACAATGCTTCAAACGCCTCGATGTGGTCCATCGGGTTCTCCGTAGCTAAACCGTTAAAGCATCGGTTTTGCACCAAATTGATCAAGCTGTACTTGATCTCATAGTCCTGCCGAGTGGGGTTCGGAGGACGGAGTACAGACCGGTTCGCGTAGAAACGATCCGGTGTGTCCTGCTCGTCAAGGGTACGAGCAGGGTGTGCAGCAGCGACGGGATCGACCGGTCCAGGAGGTGGACCGTTCGGTACGACAGCACGAGGATCGACCGGTCCGAGTTGTAGACCGATCGGTCCGGCAACGGCAGGCAAGACATTTTGGGGATTGTTCCCTCCTTCAGGCAAGACAGGTGGTGGCAGATTGTTGCCCTCTTGGTTAGCTCCCTCTGGTAGCACGTTCATGTTCATCTCAGCTGGTTCGGAGTTGGTCCTTCTTCTTCGTTCTAAGCGGCCTAGCTCTTCGTTAGAAAGTGCAACCAAATCAGTAGCCTTGTGGCTCCTTGTTTGCATGCACCTATAAAAGAAATAAAAAGAAAAATAAAAATAACTAGTAATGTACAAAAATAAATCCTAGACTAAATTCAATTCTAAAATTCTAAAGGCAATCTATTGGTCCCCGGCAACGGCGCCAATTTGATCATCACGGATAATACAAATAAAAACCTATCATACACTATACCGGATCAAAACGGTAATCATAGTAGTAAGTACAATCTGTTGTGAGAGCAATGTTATGTGTGACGAGATGATCATTACATGTAAAACAAATTGTAGATGACACTGTAAAAGGAGATTCGTTCCAATAGGCACGACCGATGTTATTATTGCAATATATATCAATATTCTACAAGAAAGCTGTTCAGTTTACGTTCTACAAAAATCATATTACCACCTAAATACAGTAAAGGATTTGCAGCCAAGAAATACTAACTGAACAGCGTTCTTGTTTTTATTTTCTGCGTACAATATATATCAATGTGGGCCTCAGTTGTTAGTACTTTGCACCCACTGTACCTAATAAAATTATAATCTTCCCGTAGGCTATTTAAAATAAAAAGGAAAACTGAAACGTAAAAAAGAATGCCTAAAAACCACACGTTGCACAAAAACAAAAACAACTCCACTTAAAAATCCAAAAGCTGTTTAATTATTAACTGTTCCACATTTTCCAATGGTTCGCTAGGTGAAATAAGCAAGAGGAAGCTTAGTTTTGAATGCCTGGCGTTGCACATGACAAACCAGTCTGAGGCCGTGTTGTTTTTATGCTTTTCGTGGACTCCAATTCTTACCCATTATATTAGTATACTTTCGGGGCTCTGAATCCTACCCTGGAGACTGAAGTATGCCTTACCAATGCAAGAAGATCACTTAAGACGAAGGAATTTTCTTCTAGCGTGGAAGATCTCAGATTCAGATGTAGATGCAGTGTCTTGAGGATTACTTATTACTAGTTCCAGACTGGGATATCTCCTAAATATGCATTCCATCTCTACAAACTCGAGCGAAGACAACAAACACAGATGCTCGGACGAGAGACTCATTTTTCCCCAATAACCTATTAAATTCTGTAAAAAAAACAAACACAATATGAGTGGAATAATTCTATATAACACATTTCTTAATGTATGGGTTTGAGCAAGTCATTACCAAGATTAGGGATCTTAGTTTCGGACAGCTTGGAAGAAACATTAGCAGCCTGTCAAAAAAGGAAAAATAGCAAAGACCTACTTCCAATTGGTACAGGTTGCAAAACTGGGGTAATGGCACCACATTCATGAAGTACTACACACAAAAAATGGAGATAAGTAGATTCACACACGTACGAAAGAGCATTATATATTTATCTATGAATTGCAAAGACGTGCGTGTATACCAAGAAAGATGCGCGAGAGAGGTTCATATCTCTTACTCCAGATAAACTGGTGAAAAATTTACGGTCTTGATCATCACCCCGGATAAAAAAGCGGCCAAGAAGATTGACCTTGTTTAAGGAACCCAAATTGGTTATGGTTTTAATAGTTGTTCTTTCATCTTCGATATTCAAATACTTGAGTCTAGGGGCATCAATCAAAAACCCCCCCTGGCCATAACCCCTAACCACAAGGACATCAACCTCCCCATAATACTCGGATTGTCTTCTAAGTTGGAATTTTATACGGAGACTGGTTAGTGTCTGGGAACGCACTCTTAAATACTTAACATTATCACCTACTCTTCTAACAATGGTCAAATCTTCAAGCACGGGGATATATGAGATTAGCGACTCTAGACTTGTCTCATTTGAATATACGTTGAGTTCTAGACGCAGAGTCTTAAGACGAGGTAATGATACAGACGACGATTCCTCAAAACTAGTACTAAACAACACGCGACTGAGTCTTAAGTAAACTAACGTCTGACAGACAAAGAGGCTTACGGGCATGATCACTTCCAAACACTTACGCTTCAGAAAGCGCTCAACATCAAGATGCTTAAGTTTTCCCTTAGCCACGAAATCTATCCAACGCGTGACACAAAACTGGTTGTGATTCTCATTCTCATCCTGGTGAATACTTAGCTTGAGCTTGTGCAAGCATAACTCGTTTTCTCTTGAGAAATCTAAGCACTTGTTGACAAAACTCGAGAAAGCATTGAAATCTAAGAACTCACAAGAGTCCAAATCCAAACCAGGAACCAAAAGCCAGAGACTTCTCCACCTATTGGACAAAACACTTGTCCTAACAGCTTCCTTTGTTGGAAGATAAAAGAGTATCTCAGAAATCAAAGTGTCTGGTAATTTGCTGATCATATCATCATCCTCTCTTTTAGCTTTATTTTCCTCCATTAAAACTCCTGTTGCAGAATTGGACCACAAATTATGCGCAGTAGTGACAACCTTGGATACGTTAAGGCATGAATTTAGCAACGAATTTTGACATTCCTATGAACAATCCAATCCAATACGAAAATTAACACAAATTAAAAAGTATTCTTACCCATTTTTGGTATACTTTGTGCACTTTGAATCCTACCCTGGAGACTGAAGTATATCTTACCCTTACGCTCACCAAAGGTTCTTCTAACTATAGCTATGCAATCAACAGGGTTACCAACCCGAGTCTTGCCATGGTATCTTATGTAGACGATTGCATTTTTTTTTAAGAGAAGAAGATGGTCCACACACGACCAATACTAAAACCATGAAATACTTAACCGGGACAAACCGGGTAATTGTTAAAAGAGACTAAGGATATTGATGCGATCCTATTACAATAACGAGTCAAAGCCTCATCGTTTTCGGTACTCATCTTTGTGCTCGTCCTCGAGTCTTGGAAATTTTCGGAGTGGTTGGTAGAAACAAAAAACGTGATATCAACGTTATCGCGTTTAGAGAGTGTTTGCGTTAATTCAGCGGCTGATATTGAGGAACTACCTAACGTTACGATGCTAGAGTTTGAGGCGCTGCAAATCTAAAATTATTTATTTTTATTTCCTTTTAAATAAATGCTAAAATTGTATTAGGGAAACAAAAAACTCATTTATTTTTATTTTGGACGTTTAATATCCAAGATTTTTTTGTTTGAGCAAAAATACCTCATCTTTAATTTGTTGGTGGATTCGTAACCATGACTTAACAGACGTGAACGACCGTTACAGAATCGTTTAACGACGTTAAATTTTAAACCCCCACTAGGTCAAAACCCGCGCTACGCCGCGGGGTGTTTTTTTGTAAATAATTTTTGTTACTAATATTTTTTGTTACTAATGATTTTTGCTTCAACTAAAATTCTGCAGCACAAGATCCACAATGAAACTTGAAATTTTGGTTTACACAATGAAAGTTGTCCTGCTTCTCATGTAACACAAATATTTGTATCCAAACTTGAATTTAAACGATAAATAAATAACATATGTATCTATATATACATTTTTGGAGTACATTTAGCAAATAAATCCTGAAGTTGAGAAGTATTTACGAGGTCATGCCATTAACATTTATTATTTAGATTTATTTAATTTAAGTTAAGATATTACAATCAAAATCGTTAGCAAACAATTTTCCAAAAAATCGAAACAAAATCTTCCACCATATCTCAACAATGCTCATTTTTCACCATTTAAGTTAAGATTTCTAAATATTTCTCAATATTATCAACACAAAATCTCACAAAAATATTCATACTAACAAAATTTAAAAAAGAATTAAATATTACTAACAATCGGAATTGTAGCATATTTCTTTAAAATGATGAAAAAGTAGCATATTCCTTTAAAATATCGATTTGATAGATTTTATTCCAATTTAGTTTAGGTTGCAAATAAATTTTGCTTTGTCACCAAGACATTCTTGACCTTAACTTTTTTTTGGTAAAAGAAAAGGTGGTTTCACCTCTTTGCCGGGAACCCAAGCATTGTAAATAGTCCCTCCCACCGTTAATCGAAACCAGGTGGCGGTAGTTACAGCTGCAACCCCTTTACCACTAGGCCAACTCAACGTTGGTTCTTGACCTTAACTTCTGACGCCCATATATACTCTTTCGTCGTTTAACTCTTATCACAACATCAAACATCCAAAACATTTGCCCACCTAACATCATCAACCACACAAAAGCAACAATCTACAATATTCGATAATGTAGGGGCAGTTTTGAAGCAGGGGCAGTATTTAACATAGTGAGTGCATGAGTTGTGTTTGGTTTCCGGCCACGGACGCTGACGGAGATGTAGTAGCTTTGTGAAGGGTCTTGATTAGTGGTGAGAAGTACGGAGTAGCCCTTGCCGGAGTATATGTCGATATCATCGGTGCTAAACGTGTTTATGTAGTTGCCGTAATCTTCTATCACCATTAGC